TAAAATTACTGTCATCAGACATTGGTTGAACATACACATTATGATAATACCTATCAGGAGCCTGATTATGACAGTAAATAAAAGAAATAAAAAGGAACAAGATAAGACAAAAGTTAAAATCAGAATATAATCTTCTTAATTTATTTCAAATCAATTCTCATGTTATATATATAGTGAATTTGAGTTATGCTGATCCATATATTATTTATATATATATATTATAAAGTAAAATTAATAAAAGTAAAGATCTATAACATGTTGGAACATGATAACTATTATATAAAATTTATATATCATTAATTAAATTAATATAATGAAAGATTAAAATAAAGTACTAATAAGATTTAGAATATAAATTAATGTGAAATTATTATGAATTAATTGATTAAATAAATGATAATGGAATTTAAATAAAAATAATGTGATAAAAATGAAAAATAATTAGATAAAATATTAATTATTGTTATTGAATAATAATAGAAGAAAATTATAAGATATAAAAAAGAAAAATAAAATAGTAGAAAAGATATTATTGTACTTTTGAGATTAAATATATATTAAAAAAATATAAAAGATAGAATAGTAATAATATTTTAATTAATAAATTAAATAATTAGTTAAAATCTCTTTCAAGTAAAATTTAAATTATATAAAAATAATAATAATATATTTATTAATAAAAAATTATTAAATATAATCTAAAATATATTATTATAATTATATTATAAATTATTAATTTATATTTGTAATATTTTATAAAATTATAAAAATTATATAATGAACTTAAAATATTTTTAATTATTATATATTATATTATTTTTTTATTTTTATTTTTTTATTTTGTATTACTTTTAGTTTTATATTTTTATAATTTATATTATTTATTTATTCTAATAAATATATTTAATTAATTATAAATTTTTAATAATATATTTTTATTTTATTTTTCTACTTTTTATATTTAGTAAATTAAAATTTTATTTTTAGTTAACATATTTATCTTTTATATTTTTTTCTTATTTTTAATATTATATTAGTATTTGCATAAAATATATAAATACAAGTTGTAATTAAGTCTTGATTTAACATATTAAAACTTGAAAATAAATAATAAAATAAAACAAATAACTTTTAATACTTAAATAATTCATTTTTATTTTATATAAAAGTTTTTAATTTTACTAATAAATATTTTTTATTTTTATATCAAAACAAAGATAATAAATTATATTTTAATATATATTTTTTCTGAATTTTTTAGATTTTTATAATTAAACTATAAAATTAATGAATTAATTACAAAAAATTTTGCAATTAAAATAACTTTGACAAAAAAAATTTAAAAATTTAGAAAAAATATTTGTTAAAATATAATTTATAATCTTTATTTTAATGTAAAAATAATAAATATTTATTAATAAAATTGAAAACTTTTTTATAAGACAAAAATTTTAATTTTTATTATATTTTATAAATAAACTTGCAAATATAATTTTATATTTTTGTTAGTTATTATATAAAACAAAAATAGTTTTTAATTATTATAATATAATTAATTATAATTTTTTAATATTGTTATAATCAATATAAAAAGTAATGATGAATATATTTTTCATCAATAATTTAATAAAAAATTACTTAAATATTATAAATATTTGGTAGTATATTCTTTAAAATAATAAAAACAAAATTTTTTAAGATTATAAAGCGTATTAATATAATAATATTTTGTAAAATCACATGCTAAAAATAGTAAACTAGAGAATTATCCTGATTAAAGTATTATAAAAATTATTTAAAAATATCTTTTATAGTTCTTTAATTAGAGTAGTTTCTGGATTTGTCATCTTTAACATGTGATTTCGCAAACTATTGCTATATTATATGCTTTATATTCTTAGAAAATTTTATTTTTATTATTCTAAAGAATATAATACCAAATATTTATAATATTTAAGTAATTTTTTGTTAAAATATTGATGAATTTCAACAAAAAACATGATTTTTATTACTTTTTGTGTTAATTATAAGTTAATAATATTTATTAATTATATTTTAAAAAATAAAGTAAAATATTATTTTAAGTAAAAGAATATCAAATATCAAATAATTTTTATTTATTAGAAAAATATATTATTTATTTTTTATTTAATTAAATAAGCTATAATATATTATAATTTTATAAAAACTTGATAATTAATAATAATCTTATTTTTTAAGAATATCTAATTTTAATATTTTTTTGATATAAAATTAAGTATTTTAATTAATTAAAAAATCTTATTTAAAAATAAAAAAAGATATTTTATTAAAATAATATTACTTAATATATATTAGTATTTTTAATATTTTTATACTAATTATATAACATATTTTTTATATAATTAAGTTAAATAAGAAAGATAATATAATAATTAAAAAATAAATAATATTTATTTATTTTTATAAATAGTTAAAATAAATTCAAAAATTTTCTTTTACAAAAATAAATATAATTATAATTTTAATAATAATTTATAAATAAATAATTTTTATTAATTTAATTAAATATAATTTTATAGTAATATTAAAAGATTATATAATAAAAAATATAACTTTATAACAATATTAAAAAGTATATATATAAAATAAATATTATTTAACTAATTAAAAAATAATATTAAATATTAAAAAAATTTATTTAATAACTTAATTATTTTTTTATAATAGTGTAAATATTATTTTATATTATAGAATTGCTATTATTGCTTGTCAAATTACTAAGTTTACTTATTATTATTATTAATTTTACTTGTTAATATTATTAGTTTTCTTATTATTATTACTATTTTCTAATAATAATAATAAAAATTTTACTAATTTCAAAATAATTAAGAATTTTATGAAAATATTTTATTTCTATTTACTTTTCACTTTGTATATAGCAAATTATTTTTATAAAAATATATAAATAATAATATATTAGAACTTGAAAAATAATAATATAATAAATAAAAATTTTTTATTTTTTAATATTTTATTTTTTACTTTTAATTATATATTTTAAAACTTATATACAAGTAGTTTTAAATTATACTAAACTTATCAAATATTATTAAAATTATTAAATAAATATTTTTTTTATTAATTAGTTATTTGAACTTTGATATTTGATATTTTTATTATTTTATTATATTTTTACTTGTTAAAAATATAATATTTCTTATTTATAAAAGAACAAAATAAAAGATTTTTTGTTATTTTAATATTATTAATTATATCTTTTTTATTTTATAATATTCCTTTTTATTTTAAAATTTTATTCTTTTATATTTCTTTTATATTTTTATCTTTTTTTAAATTATAACAATTTTAATATAATTAATATAAAACTTAAATATTTTCTCTTTTAATATTATTTTTTTTGTTTAATTTTCTCTTTTAATTTTTGTTCAAGTTTGTAATCTAATTTGTTAATTAGTAAACAAATTTATAATAATATATATATTATAAATATTATTTAATAAAAATATAATAAAATATTATTTAATAATAATTATAATTATAATTATAATATAAACTGTTCAATAAAAATAAATATTAAAATCATGTTACTTTATTATAATAAATATTGTTATAAATTAATATTTTATATATATTTATATATTATTTTATATATTTTAATATTATTGAATTAATATATTAATTAAACTAATTTAAAAAATTCAACTTTTTATTTGGATTTCAGTTTTAATTTCTATTTGAATTTCAGCTTGAATTTTAGTTAAATTTCAATTCAAATTTCTATTTGAATTTCAATTTGAATTTCAATTCAAAATTTGATTCAATTTATATTTTTATTGGAAGTTGAAAATTATAATTTATCTATAAATATAATATATTTTAGCTTTAAAAAAGAAATTAAACAAAATTTTAATTCTTTTATTTCTTTATTTATTTGTTAGTTAGTAACTAGTTTTTATTTAATCAATAATCTTTTGTCTTAATTGTGAAGTTATCTTAGTTTGTTTCTTAATTATAAAGTTATATTTGTTATTTGAGCTTTTATCTTAATTATCTTAATTGCAAAAACATAATTAACTAAATTAATAAAGAAAATATTAATATTATTACTTATCTATAAACCAAATTGAAGTCATTAAATATAATTACTTTATTAACTTTGAAGATTTCTAAGCTTATTTTAGCTGTTCACAACATGAACATATGTTATCTACCTTTTAAAAATAATATCAACTCTCATACTTTGAATTATATATTATCTCTTTTATTTGACTTAATATTATGTGTCTCTCATACATTACATGTAAGAAACTAAAAACCATCTAAAATGATAACAATATATAATAAAAGTTTATATTGTAACAATATAAAATAAATTTAATATTTTGTAAAAATATATGAAATCCTAGTAATTATTGTAACGATTGATGCTAAAATCTGACTAATGCTGAAATTAGCGCATCTTATTGGCCGATCAATTTTTATTTTCTAATTTCATTGGTCAATTTCAAACTTCAGCATTAGCCGTAACAATTATTGTATTGACTTATTATTTTATTATTGAAAAAATATTAGTTTAAGAAGCTTTGTTATTATAAAATTATATAAATACTTATTACAATTTTGATGTTCAAATCACTAATATCAACACCACTACATTCAAAAGATACTCTAAACTATACCAATTTTTGTACTTGATAATGAAACATTTCCATTTACACACTTTCATTAGATAGATGCAATTCGATCAGGAAGGGTTACAGAATATTTATTTCAAGTACTATAATATTATTAAATATGTATATCTTCTATGTCTTTAGCATCTATAAAGTGACTACTAGATAATATGAAATTGTAATATACATTAAAGAGTGATGAAAACAAGCAAGAGTTTCTATTTAAAAATACACTGACCAAAAAAAATATATTTGATGATAAGATAATACTGTCATTTCATAAAAATAATTAGTTGAAAAAAATATGTGTATCTATTTTCTTTAGGTAACCAATTGTTCATCATCGCCTTTCTTTACGTAACTAGGAGTTCTGGTTGTTGGAGGTCTTAGTAATCCTGTACGTTCAGTAGGTGAACTAGTAGATATGGGTTGTCCATCACGACCAAGAAGCGATTCCGTATCGCCAACATAGAATGGACCATAACCGAGACGTTTGGCTCTAAAGTGCCAAACGATGCACATAACAAGCAAGATGCCTTGAAGACAGCCTGTGACTAAGAATACAATCCAAGAAGTCCAATTTGTTCCGGGTCTGACAGCCAACGAGTAGACAAATAAGAAAGATCCTGGTGTTTGCATAAGCATCATTGGAATGCTAAGAGCTCCAACGGTCTATTCATTGATTAATTCGTTCATTGTTCATTACTCAATTAATTAATTAATACTATTTAAAGAGTAATTGTAAAATTATTAATTGAAAAGAGAGAGGGTTTAAATACCTTTCTTCGCCAAGTTCTCCAAATTTGTGGCAAGTATTGAACGGAAGCCAATAACATTGACGCGACACCCAAGAAATCAGCCCAATATTCTGCTGCCTGCGAACTTCCATTGTAGAAATTCAACAGATATATCGAAATAGCACTCACAAACAAGAAATGCGTGGTTACTGTAATGGCAACGCCAAGAGAAATTCGCCATTCGAGTGATCGAGTTGATGGTGGATTTCCGTAATGTAAATGTGGGATGTACGGTGTGAGTTTACGATGTTCCGGGAAATAAGCAAGGAAGAGAATGAATCTGTACAAATTGAACATTTTCGGGTCAAAGACAATCTTAAAAATATTCTTTCATTATTTCTCCATTATTTAATTTCTTCCAGTACAAAATCGACAGCATCGTCGATAAATAACCAAAAAGGATACACTATTGTAAACATCAACCATTGTAATCCGATCTGAAATACCCCGAGTGTATTCTTAAAACATTCACCACTGCTCTAATTAATTATAAGAAACCGATGTCACAAGTTAAACATAATGTAAATGATAGACAAGACCAAACTTCATTATTATACTTACAACATATGCGCAACACTCTACTATTCTATATTGCAAGATAATCATATTATATAAACTTGAAGTACCCGACAGTGTACCAAGTAACAAAAACCACGGACTCAATCCTTCGCTGCTTTTAATTCGGATAATTCGATAATGCTTATTTATAGAATTAAATAAAATTTATTAGCTTAAACTTAACACGAGTCTCCCCCTCCCCCTTTCCTTTTCCTTTTCCTTTTCCACTGTTATAAAGAAAAGAAAAAAATATCAAACCTGTGGTAGGTAACTAACTAACAAACCACATGCGATAAAAACACCTATGGCAACATCGATGTCTTTGTGCTCGATAATACATTGTTCTGGAGTCTCTGATAATTCTTGTATCGAAAAACCTCCCATATTTATTTAGTTATTTTTATTCTAGATCAATAAAAAGTATTTTACAGAGTAATACTGTTGGTTTTAATAAGGTCAAGAATTGAATTGAAGAAGCGTGTATTTGTAGTTTTCATACCAATATCAGAACGTCCGAGTTACACTGCTTTTGTTTTTTTTTGGGTGAAAGGGCGAGAGATATCGATATCGATATCGATATCGATGATGATGATTAAAATGTAACACGACATTAGTAGATTCGTTAGTTAATAATGCAGGGCACAAAGAAACACATAAATGTGAGATTTTTATAAACGGAAAGGAATTTCTCTGGCGTAGCTTAAAAGTTTCAAAAAATCTTTGATCAGTCAATTACGCGCGACTTTCCCCGATCATAAAAAGCTTTTGTATCCCCGCTGCGATTCCATAAAAAGAGCAAACATTCGATTTTCCTTTTTCCGCCAAGATTTGCGTAGATTTACAAATTTATTTTAATGCTGGTCAAAATTATGATTAACTAGAACCTTTGTGGTTGATTTTACGCGTCATTAAAACTTGAATCGCGCTGTTTTCTTCGATTATTATTATGAAGAGCAAAAAAACGACAGCGAAACAGACTAAAAAATCCAAGTCAAAAACATCTGCTGCTATTGCTTCTTCTTCAAAATCAACAACAAATACAACTAATATTTCAAAATCACAAGAGGGAGAAAGAGGAGGAGGAAGAAATGCAAAAACTAAAGTCACAACAAAAGCGGCAACATATGATACGATAGTTCCTATTCCTATTGATACTCCCATAGTATCAAATAACAATAAAGGTAAAGATAGACGACGCTCCAGTTTCGACAAGAGGGGTAAAAGGTCCTCTTCCCTCACAGGAAAGCTTTGTATGTATATGAATGTGCATTATTGATTGGCCTCTTTTTTTCTCTATCTCTCTTTATTAAGTGTTTTCCTTGATTATGGAAAGTAAAATTACACGCTAATCTTGACGAACATGAATTCTATCGCCACGTTGACCCTCAATTACCTGGTCCCATAAAAATGAAAAATTTAATTGTGTGGTGTGGACAACGTGCTATCGAGAAACAGAAGTCACAAGAGAATTCGAGTGAAAAGCACATTCTTAGCATTGGTAACATTCTAAAATGAATTTAATTTAATATTTTTAAAAAAATTTTTTTTTGATTGTTTTGTTATTTCTGCAGCAAAAGTAGTTCAGGAAGAGATTCTTTCTAAATTGATGAACGGTAATATCAATATCTCGTGGTATCATAGAAAGGTCTGTTCTTGTTTACTTTTCTTGTGCGGTGTTATTGAACATTTTACATCCAATATCTATATTTGCAATATGATTATTATTATAGGATAAATATGCAAAAGAACCACCAAAGCAACAACATCCACGGAATATCCAAAATGAAAATAGACTAAAAGATTACGAAGAGACAATAGCAAAGTAATCCTTTTGAAACGTTTTTTTACTGGGACGCGATGACAATAAAATCTAATTTCTTTAAAAATTTAGTCTAAGAGCCGAGGATCAACTATGGACGAAGTTAGCACACACAGTGAATTCGTTACATGCATCTGTGGTTGATACCTGTGCGGCAACTCCGTCCGGAGAATCATTACACGCAATGGTACTCGACAATGCGGATACGCTAATATCGTCATCATTGTCTGAGGGAGAAAAAAAATATCTTGATCATCTTGGTTCTGAAGATTATATAGATTTAACTAAAGATGAGGATAATGAGCGTCCAATTATGGATAAATTTTGTAGTGAATTTAGAATCCAGGTATTTATTTAATGATATACACAGTGAAAGCCGATATATAGAATATCATGAAATCTTGTTTGGTATAGCGGATCACTATAATGATTATTGTTTATTTATTTATTTCTCTAATCTTTATTTTAAATGGGAAAATTTTAGATTGATGAATTTTACCAATTGCTTTATAAAGCTCATGTATTTGATGATGCAACGCAGGATTATTGTGAGGATGTACTGGTGAGGTTACGTAATACACTGAAAAAACGGGATGAAGGTGGTTTTGGTAGTATTAGTATTGGTAATGCTAGTATTGCTGCTAGTAGTATTAATCTTAATAATGGGGGTGGAACAAATCTCGAAATTAAGGACGTATTAAAGGCATTAGCTAATGCTTTTTGATATCATATTTATATTTAAATAAATATCTCAATCTATTCTCATGCAGAAAGGCTCTTCAACTCGACTCCAATGTATGGAGTTCGAGTTTTTAGGTAACAAATATCGAGGTTATGGCAATTCTTGCCGCCATCTTGCATCAATCGTAAACAAATTCATGCATTGATGACTCCATTGGTGAACACGTGCATGGACTTTTGAGCACAAAAAAATGTCGGATTTTTATTATACAATTAAGGTAAATAAATAAATAATTAGATATTGCTCAAACTAAGACTACTAGCAATTTCTAAATTAGATATTGCTCAAACAAATATTAGTCCAAATACTAAAGCAGATGCTCAAAAATTTATTAGTATGGTTATGTTTGTGTTTGTGTTTATGAAGAATTATCTAAGCTTTAAACTGTATGTAGGTGAAGAAGGTGATTTTGGTGGCTATGCGTGACTCTATATATGTAGCAATTAATAATTAGTTTTACTTAATATCATAAATCGAAAGAGCGCGTGAGAAATTAGAAATAAAAACTTTTAGCTTATTCTTGAGCATGGCGACAATGCAGATGGAGAGGAAAAATGAAAAGTTTTAGGGAGGGGGTGATTGGGTAATAATTAAAGATGAAATGATGTTCTGATGGAGAAAGAGATACACAATACAAGGGTGATTGTGTGAGATCGAGAAATAGAATGCGTTAACGGATTATACAATAAAAATATTAAAAAGAAAAGAAATCAAATAAACCAAACATACGTCTATATCTATCAAAAAATTCAAATGGTAGCATTATTATTTACATTATTTAATTATATAATTATATAATAAAAGTGTGAAAGGTTGGACGCAATATAATAATAATAATAATGAAGAATTGATAGTAGGAAAGAGACGACGATGATAATAACGAATCGACTATCTCACGAATATCCCAACGATTTTTTTTTGATAAAGATATAAAGAGGTGGAGGTATCATTACTAATAATGGTATTGTATTGATTACTTGATAATAGCAGTAATGGAGTAGTAGTTTGTCAATGTCATTGATCAAATTCAACTTAATCGCCTACTACTTTCATGATCCTCTTCACCCTTCATCGTTACTAAACGATGAAGATTGTCTTGCTCAACACGTGGTTCTATTCTTGATCGCTTTGAACGTTGTTCTCTATCAAGAATGATAGCACTGACGCGTGTCGATTTTGACATCGCCATCGGATCAGTGGAGTTTTGTAAAGTGGGAGCAGGAGCAATAATGACTGGTGATGATTCTGGTCGTGGACGTAATTGTGGTTGCGATTGTGGCTGTTGCTGGTGTTGCTGGTGTTGTTGTTGTTGTTGCTGTAATGCTGATAGCTGGCGTTTTCGCGTTAATTTTGCGAAATCTAGTTGATTGACCAATAAAGAAATTAATAAATACAGATCTATTTCAAGAATTAATTCGATGATGATGATACTTACGCAGTCCGCAAGCATTACACAATGTCCTCGCGCCATCTGGACCACGACGCCACTCTGGAGTCTCGGAAATATTACACGAATGACATCTCCCTGGAGGCGCGGCGCGCTTCTGAGAGTACAAAAACTAAATGAGTAATCACTCAACTAAAAAAAACATCAATCATGTTACTTACACTTCGTTTTCGGTATTTTGTCCGCGGAGATACGGTTATACTGGGTCGTTTATTCCTGATAATGTTATCCATTTTATCTACTTCAGTCTAATTATATAGAGAGTTGGTCAATACATATCCGTATCTATTAATTAAATTATGGATGATGATAGATTTTACCATTTCATCTGATCTATTATTATTATTACAAAGATCATTTTTCATACTGGTCAACACATTAACAACCTCACACGCTCTCGCCAACATTTCATTTATCGTTTTCTCGGAGGAAACAGAAAACTGAGATAACGACAATGTTGTTGATGACGACGAAGATGCATGATGCCAAGTGTTTGTTGAAAATGCACCACCAGACTTATTAGTATTAGATTCACCACAATATTGTGTTGCAAATTGTCCAATCACATTACAATGTTCTACCACCTATAAAAGTAATAATAATATTATTATTAGATATCAATGAAAATAATAAAAAATGCATATATATTTTTTACCTTATCAAGATCAGCATTTTTTTCAATAGGCCAAGATTGTTGTTGTTGCTCTTTATTGAATTGTGGCGGTGAGTAGTGATACTCGTATCTTTGTTGTGTTTGTTTGATTTCGTGTTGTGGTGGTTGTGGGATCTGCGTATCTTGCGGCTGTTGTGGCTGATCAAAAAATGGACCACCAGCCACATTATGTGGCATTTGTCTACTCCAAACAGATGGATATTGATTATTGCTGTCATTATTTATATGACTTCCTAAATATCGCAAAAAAAAAAAAAGAAAAAACGTTAACATTTCGGTTAATCTTGCACGAGGTTGATCAAGTTTTATTTTACCTGGTTGAATTGGTTTGGCTGATGATTGTCGTGGCGTTGATGGCTGATGATGTGTTGCAAAGTTTGGAAAAGGTGAAGATTGACGAACGTCGTTACTATTTTGTTGTAGATTTTCAACTATGGGTGGTAAACGAACATCATTATGAAGCGGTTGTGTAGGCAATGGCGGAGATTCACATCGGTTAAATGATGGTTGATGAGAATTTTCATTTCTTGATAAATATGGTTTTGGCGTTAACGCGTTATTAGGCGACGATCCGGAGGGTATTAGTATAGGGGATGGAATTTGACTAGATGATGAGGATGATGATGATAATGATGATGATGATGATGATGATGGAGGAGGAGGAGGAGGATGGAATGATGATTTATTATGATGGTGGTGATGGGGATGATGATTTGGAATTTGAATTTGAATTTGAATTTGATTTTGAATTTGAATTTGGTTTTGATTTTGATTTTGATTTTGATGATTGTTGTTATAGTGATGGTGATGATGATGAATCCCAGATAGTGGTGTAAAAGGTGGTAACATGATGGGAGGAAGAGATGGAGGTGGTGTCGGAGGAGTAATAGAAGGACTATTATTGTTACTGTTATTGTTACTGATAATATTTTTTGGATCATTTTCGCGTCTACATTTCATTAGAAATTATTGTTATTAATAGGGGAAATAAAAAGAACACGCGTCTACTGGAATACACGTAACGAAAAGAAAAAAAAACTCTTACTGTTGCAATTTAGATGGGTTAGATGTCATCGAAGTTTTTAAGTTATTTTTCGTTGTTGTTGTTGTTGCTGTTGCTGTTGCTGTTGTTGATGGTATCGACACAGTAGTTGACGACGTCTTTGAAGAGGAAGAACCATGAATTTCATAGCCCACGGAAGGATAGCACATTGAAGCCACGTCCATTCTTGTTTGCTGTTTGATTTTCAAAATCAAAAAAAAATCTTCAATTGTTTTATTATTTATTATAAAAAGTGAATTAATTATTAATTAATTATTAATTAACTAATTAGTAAAAAGAATGGACTCGAGGAGGAGGAAAGGCAAAAAAGAGTAAAAACTTATTTTAGTTGTTTAGTTTTCTTTAAGTGTCAAAAAGAGTAATAATATAACAAAGGGTGAAGAAACGACGACGACGCACACAAAAACAGAAAAACAACAAACTAACCAACTACTACAACAATAATAAGAAATTTTTTACGTTATTTAGTTATTTTATTAGAATAATAGTCGTAGGAAAGTCAAGAAAGTATTATGACAATTGCAATTTTGCAATTGCGACTGTTATTATAATAATTATAATAATTATAAATTAAAAAATAATAATTACAAAGTAAAAATAATAATAAATAAAGTAGAGTAAAAGTAACAAATAACAGGTTGTTAATAATAATAATAAGAATCACACAAGTAAGTAAATAATGGTGGAAATTATAATAAATTAATTTATATTATATATGAAATATAGGAATTATTAAAGTAGCGTGATGGAAATAAACTTTGTGTGTATATAAGACAGCGAAAAAAAATCGAGAAATATAATGTGATGTGATGTTAAAAGAAGCGAAAAAAAGAAGCATCAAAAATCAATCGAATGTGTGTGTTAATATAAAAAATATTTATCATGTATAATTAATACGTTAATGAAATTTACGAAACTTTTTGGCGATCAATTGATTTTCACGTCATTGTTGTATAAAAATTTATACAATATAATATATTTATTATAAATGCGCCGCATTGACATAATGTTTACCCGCCTATCAGCCTATCAATTCGAGTTAATAAGAAAAATCTTCAATTTAATTATAAATTAGATAATGCAATTCGTCAACTCTTTATTAATGCCGGACATGTGTACACGAAATGGCAATAAATTTAAAGGCCTAGACCTTTTTTTTGTTTCGTCATTTGGTTCTAGTTTTTTGTTCACTACATTTTGAATTATGATTCTCAATTTCTTGTTCTCTGGTCTATTTTTAAAATAGCAATCTGTTTTTGTTGTTACCTCCCAAATACCTTTGCACATCAACTCGCATACACACATGCATACATACAGCATCTCCTATATATGCTATTTGTCATACTGTCTCTATATCTTTATTTTTCTCGTTATCGTTATTTTTTCGAGATAAATCTTGTATTCTAAAACAGGAAACCAACAATGAAATAAGTGGGTGAACGCGAGATTTATTGGAGATTGAATGAGATTATTAATAATCGAAGATGATTACAACCACCACATCGACAACAACAACAACAACAATGATAAAAGCCAAGCAATTCATCGAAAAGTGTGATGTAAAATATTTTTTGATTATATTGATTCAAGGGATCGACATGTAATCGTGTACCACAAATAAAAGAAACGATGATGTGGTTGTGTGTGCGTGTGTGTATGTACGTCGGCGTAAAGAAAGTAATATAAAATAGAAAGGGAAAAATAGGACAGATGGATGTATACACGTGATTTTTTTATTTATAAGTAATCTCTATAGCCAAATTCACGCGAGTATCAATTATAACAAGGTGATTGTACAGCGTGAATCTATAGTTACAGGTGATCATAGAGTGATTATATAAATGCTAGCTAATTATGCTAAATAACAACATATTAATTCTTGCTGTTCAAAAAACATGATCAATAAATTGAAAATTTATATATTTATTTAGTAATTTTTATTGCTGATTCTTTATTGAATGATACATCTAGTTCTTATCTATAGTAGTGATATTAATATCTTTAAAAGATATTCCAACAATGAATAATTATTAATAACATTTTATTTATGCTTGTTTTCTTTGTCTAAACTTGTTTAAATCAAGTTTCATATTTGAATTTTGACAGAATTTTTTAAAATGAGCTTTAAATAACAAAAATATTATTTCAATATTGGTTTTTATATTAATAATAACAATAAAATAGATACTTTAAATACATTTTCAAATTTTATTATTTATATTAGTTTATAATATTTTAAAATTATATCATATAAAAAATATTTTTAAATAAAATGATATTATAATATAAGCAAATTTAAAATATGATTATTATGAAAATAATACAAAAATTCTGGTTAACTAGATGCATAATGCTTTAATTAAAAACTTATTTTTCATGATTAATTTTATTATTTGAAAACTGAAAATTAATCTAACAAGAATCATTTCTTTAATCTATTAGAATAGAGATTAAAAGCTAAATGTGATTATAGAGTTTACTAGTGAAAAAAGTCGGAAGATGTATTTATATTTTACTTTGCATGTATGCTAGATGATGCACTTTTGGGATTTTCCGTGCACAAGTCTTTCACTACGTCAAAATAAAACCCAGCCGGTCAGTATTACCAAACCGTCGCTAATGTTGAATTATTATTATTATTATTGCTACACGAAAATCATTAAAAATTCATTTGAGTGAGCATATATAATACAGATCACCATGTCAAATCTTGATTCCGTCGTTTTATAATACTAATAATAAGAGTACGCCGAGAAAAATGGAATTCCCGCACATCAAATTGCCAATTCCGTGTGCATGCATAAATATAATATTACACGCACACAATTATGACACCATCAATCCTTGTGTGAAACATGTGAACAAACACCATTCGTCAATACGACGATCGTATGATTCTCAGGGACCAATCGTAAACAAGGAATTTGAATTGAATCCTTCTGGAATATTCGTTATATAATATACATTTATAGATGAATAACGAGATTTATTGTTTGTTGTTGGCTTTATCATTAATTTAATCTGACAATTTTAGATTCTATCTGTTATTTGACAAAATAAGATCTGAAATATATATCCGATTAAAAAAGAAATGATGTAAAAAGCTATTATTCATTTAGATATTTTATGCAGTTTAAACGTAAATTTACTAACAATGTAATTTACTATTTTCAATCCAACCAGTTATTGTGACATCGTTAATATGACAAAACTACAATTATGCAGAATACAGAATAGCTCCTCTATCCCTGATGATGTCATCTTAACGGGGTGGACTGTATTTCAAATTGCACAAAAAATACCTTCATTAAATGAGCCTGTTCTTTTTAATTCATATCTTTGTAAAAGAAAAATTTTTATTGGACCCGAAAACTGAGTTATTTCGAATTACAATAATGAGTTGTTTATATGTAAGAGTGTGATTCGAAGAACAAAGTTAGATATAAAAAGCAAGACTTCTAACAATTACAATAACAAAAAAGTAGGATAGCTTAATTTTTTGGATACAGGAATATTAAGTATTTAGTGACATATTTCGCAAAAAACCGGAATATCTATTAAAAGTAATCGAACACTCACATATATTTAAAAAAAAATACAGAGAAAACTTCTAATATATGTATACAATAACACAATGTGCACATACATACGTAACACATTTCCCGTTTTAACCGCTTTAATTAAAATTTGCTATTTATCCTTATCTCACTTTTATACATCAGATAACACCAGATAATGAGCAAACATCCTTTCGTTTTAGTTTAGTTGTCACCACTTTTGTAGTATAGTCCCCTTTTATCCTGATTTTCTCTTCACATTTTTGTTCCTTTTTTAACAATGATAGTCAATTTTATACGTGTGTTGTATATATATAGTTTGAAAGTGGGAGAAACATGCCAAAACCAACGCATTCGAACGCGGGACATGGTAGAAAATTTAAAATGGAAACACATTCTTATAATGTACGTATGGCATATTAAATTACATAATAATTAAACAAAAGTTCTAGACCTTGAAACATGACATGTGCATATTCAACGATATCAAATTAACGAAATTTCCATAAAGCAGATAGAAAAAAAGTAAATATCTATTTGTAATTCAATTCTAAAGAAATGCTGAATTAAATGTATTATCATGTTACGACAGTAAAAAAAGCATATTTCCTGAGCTTTATCACTACGAAAATAATGCACGCTTGCACTAAATTAATTACTTAGATGTAGATGGTTATTCGCTTGTAAAGATAACGAGTAAGCGACGCTTATATACTCTATTTTGTACCGGTCCAAAACTTTAAATCGGTAAATTTTGATGAGAAGTACGCATTTACCAATACTTCGATTATTTTATACAGTAGCTTACAAAAGAAATGCACCACTCTCAAATTTTACTATCATTTATAATTTTTTTGGATTTAATCTAAAGAAAATTTTCTAATTGCAAAGTGTAAAATTTTTTATTAATTAAAAGATAGTAAAAATTTACACTTTGCAATTAGAAAATTTTCTTTAGATTAAATCCAAAAAATTATAAATGTTTTGTTTTGATAGTAAAGAAACTTTAAAAAAGTTTGGAATAATAACTATTACCAGTGAATTAATCAGAGTTTTTCTTAGAAACAGTAAAAGTGCATTTTTTTGTAAGTTATTATATGGAATTATTTAAATAGAAAGTTTAATTTTAGCCAAACAAAGAAAATTGTATTTTTTTGTATATTTTAATAGTTTTTTATCCAAAGAGATGAGAACAATCATTAAAAATTAAAATAATGAATAAATATAATACTATAAAAAGTTAATTTTTTTATTAATATAATAGTTTTTTCATATAATAATCAAATTTATTTATATTAAATTCTATAATATGTTAAAATTTTTGAAATACTTCAAATACAAATGATTATTTTACAAAATTTGAAAGATTATTTTTCAAAGCTTTTATTTGTGAACTTTAAATTAGAAATTAATTACAATATCAAATTTTAATATAATAAATACTAATATTTATCATGTTTCATTTTATATATTTGCAAATTTTATAAAGTTTTGAATATTAATTCTATCATACAAAAATATAAAAATATTTTAAACTTATAAAATAGAAAATTCACAATTATTATTATAATATAGATTTTAATAAATATTTTAATTAAATAATTATA